GGTCCTGTGGGAAATGAATTCATCTTCTGTGGGGTGTCTTTTCCTCCCTGGGCAGGCGGTTTCAGAAAATACGTGTGAAAACTAGCAGTCACTCATGCTACAAAAGCAGATTGTAGCTGCTGATAGCTGCAGCCTGGGGAAAAACACCCCAGGGACCCGGGGCCAGGTTGCAGGGGGATTCGGGGTGGTGCAGCAGAGCCCCCCACATCCTGGTGATGCTGATCCCCATTGCACATTGCCACTTCCCGGCATCCCACCGGCGCTCTCCAGCCTCAGGTCTCATGCCTGGAGAAAATCCAGAGAGCCCAGCAAGTCCCTAGTGTGAATTTTTTTATTATTTTTGACCCCTGCTCCTGGGTGCAGAGGATTTTATGAGCATCTTACTAGCTCTTTTGGGGTTTCTTCTTTTTTTTTTTCCACCATTAAATGCTGCTTCTTGCCTTTCAGGTTGCTGGAAAATAGTGAGGCATGTGCCACCTGCAGAAATCAGGGTGCAGATAGGGAGGCAGATAGTGCTTTGGGTTTATCTTAGTTTTAAGGTCTGGGTTTTCAAAGGCCAAGGTTGGGGAGTGGGGGGAAGAGTTCACTCAACTCGAGCAGCCCAGCCCTGATCGCAATCTCAAGCAGAGGAGTTTGATGTGAAATCAGCTTTTCAGCTAGGGCCAGTCCCTGTGCGGAGGCAGTCAGGATGCCGGGGGCCAAAGGACACAGGAAATGAGTCAGGCAGCACATGGTGGAGGATGCCAGGGAAGGGGGGGAGTTCAGCCTTGGGAGGGCTGAGAGGATGAAGTGTGGGGAGATGAGCCGCCTGAACGGCACAATGTGGGTCCCGGAAAGCCCCTTCCCCCAGGTGATGCAGAGAGGGACCGTCATCCTGGAGGAAAGCTTTTTGCCTTTGGGATCAGCTCTGCCATGGGTTCTCTGAGCCCCCCACCCACCACTTTGGGTTGAAAACCTTTCCCTTTAGGGCTTTACAGCCGGCAGGATGCAGGGCAACCTGCGTCCCACTGCCTGGCACGGGCAGCCAGGAAAGAGGGGGCTGCCCTGGCACAACTGCCAGCCAGGAGCAGGGCATGGACTCCAAAATCAAGAGAGGGCTCCAAAACCCCAGAGATCTACATCAAAGCCACACAATGACATTCATTTCACTGGGTTCCCAGTTCCCACAGCCAGAGAGCATTGCTGCTGGCGTTTCCTGTGCCCATGTCAGGCAGGTGAAGGCGAGATGCTTCCAGCAACGTCTGCGGCATGTTCACTATTGCTCCCACATGATTAACGTGTCTGAAATGGGGGCTTGGCCATGATTTTCCTGGTGAAATCTCCCCTAGAAAAGGATGGCAGCATCTGCTCCGTCTTATTTCTGTATGTTTGCATCTTCCAACAGCAGGAGATGGGTCCATCCTTGTAGCCTCAGGGTGGCCAGGTACAGGATGATGCCTCAGAGGCTGCACAACCCACTCCCACCCCAGTGAGCAGCTTTGGGGGTGAGATGCAGATCCCTGCTGGGTTTTCCAGCCTTGGACAAAAAAAACCTCCACTGCTTTTTGGGGAAGGTGATGGCACCTGGGCAGGAGCCAGCCTGGCTCTGCAGGGGCGTGGGTGGTGGCGGGGAGTGGGGGGACTATGAGCCACATCTTCCTGGGGACAGGCGAGGGTGGACCCATCTCAATATCAATATCTCTGCAAGCAGCTGGGGAAGTCCCAGGTGGCCAGGGCCAGGCAAGGACCTTAAAAAAGGAAACAGCACATGCAGGGTGTGCATTTAGTGGTTATCTCAACATCAGTCCCAGCAAGGTAATGGAAAAGCTTTAAAAGAGATTCAAAAGGGAGAAGAATAAATCAAACAAATCCTTTATAGAAAACAGAGCTGACCTGGCAAAGCTGCTTTGATCACTTTTATGACTTTGGCTGCCCCAGCTGCAGCAGCCATCCCATCCCGCAGGCACTGCATTTAGATCTTCCTCCCCCAGGGTTATTGATCAGCCGAAATGAGGAGAGGCACCACAGCATCAATAAAGCATCTGCAAACACGGCTGGAAAAGCAACTCTCACCCGGGGCGAGCGGCATTTCCAGGGGGGCTGCGCCACCAAGCAGGCGTCCCAGCGTGTCCGGTAGCACCTGTCCTGCCCCAGCAGCTCTCTCTGGCAGCCCCAGCTCTGTGACACAAGGCTGGGGCTGGTTCTGAGCATGGAGAGTGAGTAAGTGCTGAAACACTCCTGGCAGAGGTGTTGCTTTCCCCAGGAGCTGCTTTGCTTTCTGTTCAGGGATGCAGAGAAGTTGTGGGGAGCAATGCCCACGTGAGGCAGCAATGGGGTGGCTGCGGGGTGGCCGGCGCCGCAGCATCCACCGCTGCCCCCTGGGGCTGGTGGGATCAGGACATACTTGTACTCCCCAGCAGTGGGAAATTTGAAGCCCCTGCAAATTTTTTGGAATGGGTAATGAGAGCTTAGCCCCCAGCAAGGTCCAAAATGCCTCTGCCAGCCCCCAGATTTGCCACCTTCCCCTGCGCTTCTTGGCAGCAGGAGCAGGATCTGTCCCGTAAGTTTTGCAGGCACCAACGCCTCCCATCCCCACCGCAGGGCTCAGCCCTTCTCACCCCGATGTTCCCACCACACCAGAGGTGGTGGGAGGGATGTAAGGATGAGGCAGCATTTCCTGGGGTTCCCCACCTGTACCCCCCACATTTCCTGGAGGGATTTCCCCAGCCACAGGATTTCCCGGCGAGCAAAGGTGATAAAAGCCATGGCCGGCAGAGCCCCAGGACCCCATGCCACAGCCCTGGGAGAAGGGGCAGGCAGAGCTGGAGGCTGGTGGCCTGTTCCCAGCAGCTCTGCTCCTCACCACGCTCTGCAGCCAAGCCTGGAGCAAGAGCTGTGAGTGCTGGCAAGGAGTCCCCCATGAAATGGTGGAAGAAAGGGAGGAAAAGGGTGGTTTTCAGCCCAGACCACATGCAGGACAGAGACCTGCATGGCCACCCCAGAGCAGAGACAGGATCCGCTCATCACAGCATTGGGTCTGCCCATGTCCCATGCCCTTCTCTGCATCAAACGTGGGAGGGCCGGTGAGGTGGAAGGGAGTGAAGACCAGTTTCTCCTAAATTCATCAAGAGCCGCAGGGGCACCGGTTTTGCCTCTGGCCCCTCTGAGCCCACATGGACATCCGCAGCTCCAGTGCCACATCTGTGCAAACCCAGTAAAGCCCCATCCTGGCTGATGTGGGGAGGTGAAAGGGGGATATTCCTCCTTGGACACAGGCGAGACCCAGAGACCCAGGGGTGCTCAGGGGCTGCCAGTTCCAGGGGCCCAACCAGGGCTGAAAATCCCCCATGCTCCAAAATCCCCCAGCTGCAGGGTCTACTCACCCCATGCAGCAGACACCAGGACCAGGGCTCAGGACGGAGGGATGCTGGGAATGTCATCCCAGGAATTCCCCAGCCTGATGTATCCCATTGTTTTGCATGGGATTCTTTAAAAGGGGCCTTTCCCAGTCCAATAAACCCTCTTTTGTTTTCCTGGTGCTTCTGTTTCACTTTCTTATTGCAGGGAACATTTTCTACCCTTAAGAGGCCACATTTACCGCAGCTGCGCCAGGAGGTCCTCGGTGCGTGGGGGTAAGGAGGCTAAGAGGGAAAGGATGGATCCAGGAAGGGAAAGGCAAGCCAGGCAGCTGCACCGGACTGGGACCAGAGGCATCCGCTTTCCTCCGCTCCCCACAGTCTCCCTGAGGAGAGATTAAATGGGAGTTGGGGTGATGACGGGAAGGTGTTCTGCTCTGCCAGCTGAGCATGGAAACATGAACCCCCACCCTTGTCCGCATCCGCCAGCCCCAGGGCATCGCCCAGCCCCACTTGCTGCACCCTGCTGTCACCCAGCACGTGCACCCCAAAAAATCAAGGCTGATTTCTGGGAAATGGCTTTGGAGAAGAGCAAATGGAGGGACATGTGGTGTGTGTGGCCCCCGTTCACATCAGGGCAGGTCCCTGCCTGGACCAGCACGCCATGCCCTCTCCAGCCAGGCAAGGCTGCACTGCAGCCCAGGGTGGCCAAAATACCAGCAGGGTGCCATCCACATCCCCAGCCCTGCACGGGGGCTGCCCACACAGCCAGGCTGGAGGGGATGCGCACCTGCACCTCCCCACTGCTTCCCACCATCCGCCAGCTGCCGGCAGCTGGGATGCGCCCCAGGATTTGCTGGGGCTGGAGGGAGAAGGGGCTTTTTGGACAGCTGCGGCCAGGCAAAATCCACTGAGGAAACTCCAAACTGGCCTCTGCCTTTCCCAACTCAGCACAGCCAAGAACATGAGCTGCTGCTTTAGCACCACGGGAAGGGAAGTGGAGCCACCTGCCTGACCTCTCCCAGCCCTGACAGGCCCCAAACACCGCCAAAAACAGCAGACAACCATGTAGATGCCTGCTGCAACCAAACCTGCTGCTGTTTCTCTATGGCTTTTTGGGTGGGAGGGGGGTGGTATTTGTCCCCTGGACTGGGATAGGATGCAAAACTTTGCAGTGCAGGGGGAGAACATGGACTATTGAGAGTGTGTGTGGCTGCTGGGAACCCTGCAGGGTGCTGAGCCTGGCCCTGGTCCCATCCAAGGGAAATCCCCAGACCCTCTCACCCTCCCTGGGGCTCCTGCCATGGGGCACGCAGCCTGCCCAGGGATTGGGGATGCGGAGCCAAACTTTGGGAGCAACCTGGCCACCAGCCCTAATACTGGAGGCAGGAGCTCAGGAAAAATTCCAAGACCATCGGGAGCCAAAAGCACAGCCCAGGAGCAGGTTTTTTCCCTCCCCGGGGCTGTGCTGGGAGGAAATGAGTATTGCTCACCCTCCGTGCTTTGGGACGTGGCGGGGGACCAGGTCCTCCCCCTGTCCATGCGGCAGCTGGCCCTGGCGGAAGCCGGCCTCGCTGCTCCCCCATAAAAGCAGCCTGGTGGCCCTGACCCCAGCAGACAGCAGCTCTGCCCCGGCACCACCGAGCAGCCCTCCCACAGCCCAGCATGGCGAAGGCAGCCGGGGTGGTCTGCACCTTCCTCATTCTCGTCGCGCTGTGCTGCCAGAGCCTGGCTCAGAGTGAGCACTGCCTCCTGCTGCATCTCTGCGGGTTTGGGGACGGGGACAGCCCCCAGGGCTGTGAGGACGGGTTTGCTTCGTGCATGGGGTGCAGGGGGGCTCCCCCCAAAAAGCCGCCGTGCCCACAGCAGGAGGGCTGAGATGGAGGTGGGGGTCTCCAGGCTAAGCTGAGCTTGTGCTGTCCCCCCCCAGGAGCGCCGGCTATGCCAGAGAAGTGCTGCTTCAACTTCCAGATGAGAAGGATCAAGAGAGACAATGTCGTCAACTGCTACCCCACCAGCCCTGAGTGCCCACACCAGGCTGTGATGTGAGTACCTAAACCCAGCCCTGGGGGTAAAGCCCCTCTAGAACCTGCCTGAACCCACTTCTTGCTTTTGTGGGTCCAATCCTGATCCTCTGTGCCTCCGAGCCCCTCAGAAACTCAGCGCTGGGGTCCCCATACCACCATCCTGCTAACCCTGTCTTCTCTCTGCCCCAGCTTCAGGGTGAGGAGTGGGAAGGAGATCTGCACCCAGGCAAGTAGTCCCTGGGTGAAGAGGTACCAGCAGAGCTTCCAAGTCAGCTCCTTCTCCATCCCCAGCTAGTGGGGTGGCCGGAGGCAGTGTGGGGAGTCCTCTCCACGGGGGCCAGGACACCACGAAGGTGACCCCCTTGCAGACATGGCTGTGGGGACACCACATTTGGATATAGCAGCTTGTCAGGGACATCCTCCCCATCACGCTGTGACGACCCTCGCCACCTCCCTGAAGGCAAAGGGCCTTTGCCATCCCCGGCATCCCACCTGGATGGGGTATGCCAGCGCTGCAGGGTGCTGGGTTCCAGACCCATTGCCAGCCCCCGTGCGCTCAGCTTTGCTTTGCATGCAGGCAGCTGCCTGTACCCCTCGCAGGCAGTAGCAGTGTGTCAGCAAGGCTGCGCTCACCGGCCTGGCAGCAGCAGAGGGATTAAGGGGGAGCAGCTACACAGTTCTTTTTTGTACAACACACTGAACAGAATTAAATGTGATCTCACACATGCAAACATCTGGCTGTGCAAGTATCTTGGGAGTGGGCCGATCCTGCTGCCGGCTTTCCTACTCAGGTGTTAAACCATATCTGTAAGTGCTGGGGTCAGTAAGGAGCCAGGAAGAGCCGAAGACCCCACCATGTCTCTGCAAAGGGGTCCAGGGTGTGCATGGGGCCAAACCATGTCCATGCGGGCTTTGGGGAAGCCACCAGTGCAAGAGGCAGGCACAGCCCATGAGGCCCTCCATGAGGGGCTTCCAATGCCCCTTGTCAGCCATCCTAATGAGTGGAGACCCCTGGCCCAAATTTGACCAGAGCTGCCCCTCAGAGGTGCTTGGTCAGGCCCCACTGACAACCCACGCTCCCAGGATGCCATGAGGAGATGTGATGGGCACTGCCATTGTGACAAGCACCATGATGGGCACAGCCACTGCAATGGGCAGCAAGCGATGGGTCTCATGGTAGGCTAGGGTGAGCACAGGCACTGCCAAGCCACTGGCCTCAGTGCAAAATTGCAAGAGAGGCATTGCAGCTGAGCTGTCAGTGGGTGGTTTTTTAAAAGAAACTCTCCCAGGGCTTTGGCAAGTGCAAGCATCATCCTCTGTGGTTTACCGGTGGCAAGAACCAATCCCAAAATAGACTGCTGGCCCCAATGCATCAGCAGCGGTGCAGAGCTGCTGGCTGCTCACCACACTTTCCAGCAGCCCTTGGGTACTACAGGGGCCAGAGGGGCTGGGAGAAGGAATTTCCATTCACCGGTTGCCCTTTATCAATATCTCTGGGTGGTTCTTTCCCTGGGGAGAGTCCAGAGCTGTCATGGAAAGTCTGGCCAGGGGGTATATCATGCCATGGTGCAGGCAGGAGAGGCAGGTAGCTCTCAGTAGCCCCGAGTCAGCAAGAGCTGCTGGCTGCTGGCACTGACCGAGCCCCGGGTTGGACATGAAGGTCTTCTCCTTGGCCCTGCTCACCCTGCTGCTGGCAGCTCTCTGGACTGGAAGCCAGGGCGTCTCCTGTGAGTACCGACAGGGAGTCTTTCCCCATAGCTGCCCTGGCGCCACCCCCAGCTCCTCTGGCTGCCGAGGTTTTGGGGGGTCGCAGAGGGGGATGAGAGCTTCAACTCCTGCTTCTGCCATGGGTCTGGAGAACTACTGAGGGGCATCGCCAGCTGCCCGAGCAAGAGGCTGTCCCTGCCCTGTTCAAAAGGAGCAAAAATGGGCTTGGGGATGGCTTCAGCCCCAGCACCCCGGCTGGGGAGGGAAACAGGGGGCTCCTGCCCTGAGGCAAAGCAGCACTGCTGGGGCTGCGAAAAGGGACCCCCTTGTACTGGGGGGGAGCAGGAGAGTCCCGGGGAGCACCCACAGCCCTCATGCCAGGCGTGGGAGAGCACCAACCCCTCTCGCCTCCTCTCAGTCCGCAGCCCCTACGGCACATGCTGCTACAAGGAGATGTTCGTCCAGAAGAAAATCCCTGCCTTCCTCATCAGGACCTACCAGAAGACGCCTTCCCACTGCTCCCGCAAGGCTGTGATGTGAGTACACCCAGCCCCCACCCAGCCTTCCTGCCCAGCACCCTGCTCCTCACCCTCGCTCGCCCACCTTCCCTGCCACTTGTTCTGCCTTCGGGGATCCCCCAAAACGAGCCACCTCCCAAAGGGTGCCATGGGTGGGGGTGCCCTGCCCTGGCTCTTTGCACACACACACACACACACAATCCTTGACTCTTTATCCCAAAGAGCCCCCGCATCCCCCATCTCAGCTGCCAGCCAGAAAAATGGGAAGGAAGCCAAGGTTTCACAGATTGCTAAAAACCAGCACATTTGGGGGATGTGGGGGCAGGATGCCGCAGGCATCCCCAGGCTGGTGGGGGAACCCCAGGGCACGGCCGGATCCCACATCTCCCCAGCTAACGCAGCCCCTTTCTCCCCCCTCAGCGTGGAGCTGCTGAAGGGGAAGAAGTTCTGTGTGGACCCGGAGGAGCGCTGGTTCCAGCAGTACCGGCAGCAGCAGGAGTCGACCAGCACATCCACCTGAAGCTGCTTTCCATATAAGCTCTATTTATTTGCATCCCACAATTATCTGTATGTTCTCGTCTCCTTAAGTTATGGAGCCAGCTCCGTCCTCTCCCCTGCCGCCGCCCCCTCCACACTACTGTATGTCCCTCGACGGGTTTAATAAAACACCCTCCTCCGACCTGCAGCTCGAGTGAGCGAACATAAATCCAGTAGGAGAAAATATGGGTCACATCAGGGCTCGGCATCCCCGCGGGTCGCAGGAAGAGTCCTGGAAGCCCCTGGGAGGGCAGGGAAACACAGAGTACTGAGGCTGAACCCCTCATCTCCCCTCCAGGATGAAGCAGCCCCTGCCTGGGTGTGAGGTTTAAGGATGCCCTGGGCAGCTGCCCACCCTGGTGGGATGTGGATTGAGGCAGGGATAAAGGCAAGCAAAGGCTGGCAATAGGAGAGAGGTTGGGTTTGGGGGTTGGTTTTCTCCCAGATGGATCAAGAGGTTAAACAGGGGCAGCTGTAGAAGAAGAGGTGCCTGCAGGTTTGGTGCTCTCCTTTAGCCCTGGCAAGACCCCGGAGATGGACACCCATGGCGGTGACTCTGCTCGTGCCACGGAGCTACGGGTTCCTGGGAATCACCTCATCTCGTGGGGGAAAATCCTCCCGCAGCCCCTCAAGCCCATCCACCCACTGCTGTGGCAATAGGGATGGCAAACGGAGGAAACTGGGCCATAACAGGCCTGGCACACATGTCCATAATTTCCTTAAATGTTAAGAAGTTGAAAACGCAGGTGCTTCCAGGCAGGTTTCCAGTGGGCACCGGGAGGGTGGAGCAGCCTTCAGCCACCTGGTTCCCATCAGGGCTCCGGCTGCGGAGCTGTGGAGCTAACTCTGTATCCCTGCTATGACAAGTGAAGCTGGGTGAGAAGTGGTATTTGTGGCAAAACTGGGGATAAGCTGAGATTTGATGCCTGGCAGTGGTTTTCTGCCAGCAACAGTGGCAGTGGCTGGGGGTGTCCATGC